TGGAGGTAGGGAGTGAGTGAATGTGTGGTGTAGCCGGCGGTTGTCTACCGCAGGTCGTCGTGGATGCACATGTGGCCGAATAGGTCCATGTGATGCCTGAAAGTGCGAAGGCAGTGTGAGCAGTTGAGACGAGCTTGGTGGGTATAGGTTGGTGCTTCAGGCACTGGTTCGCCAGTCTCTGTGCGATGGATTCGCAAGTAACCGACCAGGCCGATGCGTGAGGTGAATGTGCGTTGACAGTGTGGGCATGAGAAGTCGGCGGTGCCAGTGTCACCTACAGAGGAGGCGGTGGTGGTGGTGGTGGTGGCGCAGACGGATAGAGTGAGGGTGGGAGTGTGCATGGTGAATGTGTTGAATGTGGTGGGTGTGTCGGGAGTGCGGTCAAGGCCGCTCTCGTGGATGCGCATGTGGCCGAATAGGCCCATGCGATGCCTGAAGGTGCGAGGGCAGTGTGGGCAGTGGAGGCGAGTGCGGTGGGTGTAGGTTGGTGCTTCACGCACTGGTTCGCCAGTCTCTGTGCGATGGATTCGCAAGTGACCGACCAGGCCGATTGGTGAGGTGAAGGTACGGTCGCAGTGAGGGCAGGTGTAGTCCTGATCCTCATCGCTAGAGTTGGGGGAGGTGGTGGTAGTGTCGGTTGTTGTGCGCGGGACAGTCGCCTGAGCGGCCGCCGTAGGAGCAGTGGGCGAAGATGATGATGATGATGATGATGGTGATGATGATGATGATGATGATGATGATGATGATGATGATGATGATGATGATGATGATGATGATGATGATGATGATGATGATGATGATGATGATGATGATGATGATGATGATGATGATGGAAGTGGTGGGTCAGAAAAATTTTTAGACATAGTTGGCGGCAGAGAGGAGGAGGAAGAGGTGGGCGGGGGGACGATGGTTAGTGCCGTTCGAGAGGCGCAGCAAATCCGAAGATATCCAACAAGTCAAATTCGAGCACGGAATGTCCGTTGACAGCGAGGACATGTTGGAGGCGGTTGTGCGGCGGCGTTGCGTACTGGGTGAAGTTGTGATTTACGGGCTTCGCGTTTCGCTTTGGCGACAGCGATGCGGTTGGCTTCGTAGATCGCAGCGCCTATCTTCATTGTCCTCCTCCAGGTCGGTCCATCGAGTGCGACCTCTTCCCAGTTGGTGGGGTTGATTTGCAGGCGTTTCAGGGAGAACTTCAGGGTATCCTTGTAACGGTGGATCTGGCCTCCTTGACAGCGAGAACCCGTCGCGACGTCTCCGTAGAAGAGTCGTTTGGATAGTCGCTCGTCGTCCATGCGTACCAGGTGGCCGCTTCATCGCAGCTGCATTTGCCTCAGTATGGCGTAGATGCTGAGGATTCCCGTCCGTTCCAGCACATCAGTGTCGGGGATTCGATCCTGCCAGTTCAGCCTCAGGATGAGACGGAGACAACTGAGGTGGAAGTGGTTCAGACGGCGTGCCTGCCTCGTGTACACCGTCCCACTCTCCGCTATATACAGTAGTGTCGGCAGGATGACGGCCCTGTACATCTTCAGCTTCGTGCTCAGTTGAAGACCGTGGCGATTCCAAACTGTGTTTTGGAGATGACCGTAGGCTTGACTGGCTATCGAGATCCTGTTGGCGACTTCGTCGTCGATCTTGGTGTTGCGGGAGAGAGTACTGCCCAGGTACGGGAAGTTCTCCACCACCTGCAGTTGGGTTCCATTCACGCTGATTTGCGGCGGCGCGTTGGGGGCTGTGGCTGAGTTGGGTGGCGGTTGGTGCATCAGCACCGTCTTCTGTGTGTTGATGACCAGACCGAAGTTCTCGCAGGCGGCGGAGAACAGGTCCATGCTCCGTTGCATCTCCTCTTCCGAGGTGGTGTTCAGGGCGCAGTCGTCAGCGAAGAGGAGTTCGTGAACGGTGGTTGTGGATAAGCGCGATTGGAAGTGCATCCGTCGTTGATTCAGGAGGTGACTGTCCGTCCTGTAGGCGATGCGGATCCCGTGGCGTTCGTCGCGGTTGGCGTCCATCAACATGGCAGAGAAGATAAGAGTGAAGAGGATAGGCGCCAGAACGCAGTCCTGCTTCACTCCATTGGTCACTGCTAATGCCTCTGAGACGGCTCCGTTGTCCGTGACTAGCGCCATCATACCGCCGTGCAGCTGACGCACCATCTGAGTGAATCGCTCCGGAGAGCCGAAGTTCTGCATGATCTTCCACAGTCCTTCACGATTCACCGTGTCGAAGGCTTTCGTCAGGTCCACGAAGGTAGAGTACAGGTGGGTCCGCATCTCCTGACACTTCTCCTGAAGTTGACGGGCGGCGAAGATCATATCCGTGGTCCCACGATGACGACGGAAGCCGCATTGGCTTTCCGGCAGAAGGCCCTGTTCCACATGGTTATTGAGGCGGTTGAGCAGGATGCGAGCGAAGATCTTCCCGGCAATGTTCAGCAAGGAGATGCCGCAGTGATTGTCGCAGACTTGGCGATTCCCTTTGCGCTTGTAGAGATGCACGATTGTTGCGTCTTTGAAATCTTGCGGGACTTCATCTTGAAGCCACATCTCTTGGAAGAGCGCAGTCAGGTGATCCATCAGTTGGGGACCTCCGTGCTTGTAGACCTCAGCAGGGATTGCGTCCGATACGGGGGCTTTCCCGCTGGAGAGCTGCTGCACGGCCCTGACGGTCTCCTGGAGAGATGACGGAGGGGCGTTTGAGGACGCCTCGGAACTGCTCGGCCCATCGCTGTAGGACTTGCGTCTTCTCAGTCAGAAGAGTGTTGCCGTCGGCGCTGTGGAGATGAGCAGTGCCCTTCGTCGGCGGACTGTAGACAGCTTTGATCGCAGAGAAAAAGTTCTTCCATTCGTTGCGGTCTGCGTACCCTTGGATCTCCTCAGCTTTGCGAGCAGTCCAGGCGTCCTGCATCTCGCGCAGTCGTTGCTGAAGTTGGCAGTGAATGCGGTTGAAGGCGGCTTTGGTGGCATCAGTGGGGTGATCTACGTAGGCTTTGTGTAGGCGGTTCTTCTCAGCAAGCAGATTTCTGATGGCGGCGTCGTTGTCGTCGAACCAGTCCTGGTGTTGGCGGCGGACGCGACCAAGGACGGCTAGCGCCGTCGACTGGACCGTGTCCCGCAGTTGACACCGGCGGTTCTCCACGGATGCGTTCTCGGCAGCGGCGGCGTCGTCTGCGGCAGCGATTGGTAGGTTGTCTAGCCGTTGAGCTAGCTCATTGCCGAAATGAGGACGGTGAGCTGACAAAGACAAGCAGGCAACATTCAGCTTACCTGGGGGTCGCTTACCTTGTGGTCTCCTGCGAGGCTGTAGGCGAAGACGCATCTTCGAGATGACGAGCCGATGGTCGGTCCATCCGTCAGCACCTGCGATCGCCTTCGTCACCAGCACGTCCCGCTGATCTCGCCTCCGGACGAGGACATAGTCCAGCAGGCGCCACTGACACGACCGAGGATGCCTGCAGGTGGCCTTCTCTCGCTCCGGCAGACAGAAGAACGTGTTCGTCAGGATGAGGCGGTGTTCTGCGCAGGTGCGGAGCAGCAGCAGACCATTGTCGTTTGAGCCGCGGAGACCATGGGGACCCAACACTCCTTTCCAGGCAGTATGGTCTGTGCCGACGCAGGCGTTGAAGTCGCCAAGGACAATCAACTTGTCCGCCTTGGCACATTCGCCAAGAGGGCGTGCAGGTTCTCGTAGAATTGGTCTCTTGCGGCATCAGGGCTGGTCATCGTCGGAGCGTGGCGCTGATGATGATGGCGAATTTGCCTCCTCAGACAGGCAGGCGGAGGCTCATCAGGCGATCGTTGATGCCCTGCGGCTAACAGGGCAGTCGTCCCACGATGTCGTTCCGAATGGCGAAGGCGACGCCCGCGTCTCGTCGCTCTGCCTTGGGTAGACCACTCCAGAAGAAGGTGTAACTGGCACCCACCTCCTCCAGTTGGCCTTGTTCGGAGAATCGGGTCTCGCGGAGTGCGGCGATGTCCACCTTGTAGCGCGCCAGTTCTCATGCCACTAGCGCCGTCCTTCGTTCCGGTCGGTTGCTCCTTGGATTGTCTAAAATTGAACGAACATTCCAGGCTGCCAGAGTGAGCGGACTCACCCTGCCAGTCTGGTGACAACGAGTGGGGCGACGGGAACGAGGTGGAGAAGAAGATGGCGAAGGAGAAGTGTAGACAGAAGAATAGGCAGAGGAAGACAAAGAAGATGTTGGATGAAAAGGTGAGCGAGTATTGTTGTTGTTGTTGTTATTGTTGTTGTTTCGATTGGACTTGCGTGATCTTTGTTCCCTTTGGGGTCGGCAGAATTGTGGTCAAATCAACGTGCCACTTGACCTCTCCCACATCAGCCAGTGGACTGATCGGTCGTTGCTGTTCAGGTGAGCAGCATTCAGCTTCGCGGACGCATCGGTGAGACAGTGTTCGGCTTTGGTCACATGGCCTCTGGCCCCCAATTCCGCTCTTTTCCGTGAGCGTTGACTCTCGGTCCCGCGTGCTCACTTGCCTTACTGGTCCTGTCCGGACTGATCCGAGCCTTGTACGCAGCGCCTGGTAGGCGGGATGTAGATCTATAGCTCGGTTGAGTGTACCAGCCGAGGACCAACTTTCGAGCACCAGTCTGGCCATCTTCTCATTGGCTCTGCCAATAACCCTCGCTTTCTCAAAGGCAAAATCGTGGTTCAGTTCTCTTATGTGGCCATAGACCAAAGACAGCTTGTCCTTGCGGTAAATTGCAAGTTGGTGTTCGCGCAGTCTTGTACCGAGGCGTTTGCCCGCTTCACCAACATACCTCGCATTGCAATTTAGGCATGGTATGCTGTAGACCAACGCCGACTGTTCTGTTGTTGGTAGCGGGTCTTTGGGCTTCATGATTTGCGGTCTGATGGTGCATTCTGGTTTATGAGCCACGCCAATCCCAAAAGGTTTCAGGATTCTTCCCGTTGCCTCTGATACGTTCTTCACATAGGGTATTGAAAGACAGAACTTGGGCTTTTCTCCACTCGACCGCTCAAAATGAGGCTTTCTGAGACAATTGCGTATGAAGGACTTCGGGTAGCCGTTGGCTTTAAAAAAGGGCCTGTAAGTAATTCATCTCCTCCTTCCTCCCACTGTCGTCGCTACAGTGTGTTTCAACACGTTGAAAGAGAGTTCTGACACAACTGCGTTTATGACCAACAGGGTGGTTGCTTCGGAAGTGGAGGATGCGCCTGGTATTTGTTGCCGCACGGTAAACCGTTGTCCTTATCTTCCCGTCTGTCAATCTCGTAACTTGTACGTCCAGGAAGGGCAACTGATTGTTGACTTCCTCTTCCATAGTAAACCGAATATCGGGAAAGACGGAGTTCAACAATGCCTTGAAAGTCTTCACCTCGCTTCTCTTGATTACAACGAACGTGTCGTCGACGTATCTGGCCCAGAACTTCGGGGGGTACGAGCTGAAGACCTGCTGCTCGAATCTCTGCAAAACTGCGTCGGCAATTAGTCCAGACAGAGGCGAGCCCATCGGTGTCCCCTTCTTTTGCTCGTAGACTTGGACGTTAAATGTAAAGGACGTCTTAAGACACAGTTCTAGGAGCTCGATGATGTGTGCTCTTTTGAGCTGTTGGTCGGTTTCATCATACTTTTCCCGGAGAAAGCCATCAATAGCGTCGATAGCCAGCGTGGGTGGGATGGAGGCGAATAATGAGATCACGTCAAATGACACCATCACCTCATCTGCCTCCACTTCGAGATGTTTGATGCGCGTCAAGAACTCTTCAGCCGACTTCACTGTCCACTCCGCATCCTTGGTAAGGAAACGAAGTCGCTGGTACAGCCACTTTGACAGCCCAAAGGTTGGAGTAACACGTAAGGAGACGATGGGGCGTAGCGGTGCCCCCTGCTTGTGGACCTTTAGTAGGCCGTAGAAGCGCGCCATCGCGGTATCACTGGCTTTTGCGGCCAACGCCTCTCTTCTCGTAAGAGCTCCCGCCTTCCTCAGCTTGCCGATCGTATTGTTTATGCTGTTTACGAGCTTTTTAAACTCGCAGACGGTCGATGGCACATAAGCTTCCTTGTCCATTAAGAGGTTGCCTAGTTTTGTGCAGTACTCAGCCTTATCCATGACGACAGTCGAGCGCCCCTTGTCGGCGGGCAGGGTGACGATATCCTTCATTTTTCGTATCTTCAGAAGTTCTCGATCTTCTGCTCTAGAAATCGTCATCTGGCGTTTGTGTTGGAGGAGTAAGGTCGACACTTGTTGTCGCATGGCGTTTTTGCACTCCTCGCCTGCCTCACACTTCTGGAGCGCCGATTCAAAGGATGCAATAAAGTCTTCTGGTCGAGCATCTCTTGTGTTGAACTTCGCGTCATAGGATAGAACCTCTAGTTGTTGCTGAGTAAAACGATGAGAGGACAAGTTGTGAACCAAGGCACCGTCAGTAGAGGGCTGCTTTGGCGGACTTATTTTCTCAAATTTTTCAGACAACTGGTCATCACGCAACTTGCGGTGACGTCGTGCGCTGTCGAGAATTGCCGCTTTGAGGACCCCCAGCTCATATGCCGTAAAGATCGACTGGCAAGTTGACGAATGATGTTCAATCATCTGGCGGTACTTGTGGATGCGGGCGTGGCAGCATTCAGCTTCGCGGACGCATCGGTGAGACAGTGTTCGGCTTTGGTCACATGGCCTCTGGCCCCCAATTCCGCTCTTTTCCGTGAGCGTTGACTCTCGGTTCCGGTCTCTCGGTGTACTGATCGTATCAGTACACTGATCATTTTTTTCTTGAAGTCTGCCATCATCCGTCGGCAAAGGTCAGTGTCCACAGGTGGTCTATATTTGAGGCATTTCGGTAAGACGTCCTCATCAAGGCAGCTGTGCAGGAATTTCAGCTGAGCGTAGGTGGAGGACTCCCGCTTCGCGAAGGTCTCCCATCTGCGTGCTGAGCAGAGGGATGTGCGCCAAAGCTACAAAAACAGCTACGCGACCCCTCTGTGAGTTATTTTTCCACACTTCGACGAATGAGGAAAATTCATGACCTAGTCACGAAAATAGAAACACAAAAGTCCATAGCAGCAGAACATCGGGCACTAGAATCCCCCGAATGAACATCTCAGATGTTTCAGAAACTATTGAGTAATCACCGACAGTCAGGACCACGAAATAGTATTAATGAATTAGGGCAAGTTTTAACCAATGATAAACAAATAGTAAACTTACTCAACATATACTTCTCAGCTAACTACACATTCGAAGAGGGAACCATCTCCCAAACGACCGAGATGACTGAACGCATCCTTAGTGAGATCCGTTTTAGTGAAGAAACTGTTAAAATAGCCATTAAGCAACTATACAACGCTAACTCTTATGGGACGGACAAAATCCCTCCATGTATTCTGAAGCGTATGACATATGCTCCAATACCCCTATCCAAGTTATTTACCCTACTCCAGTCAAATGCATTTTTCCTGGACGTGTGGAAATACTCGACCATCGCACCTATCTTTAAAAGCGGCAACCGATCTCATACCCAAAACAATCATGATGTTCACTGAAAACCGGCTATAGCTAAAATCCTCGAAAAAATAGTATACAAACAAGTACCAGACCATCTCATAAACACCAACCTCATTCCCTCCTCTCAACATGCATTTTTACCTAAAAAGTCGTCAGTCCTGCCAGCTAACTTTTCTGGAATTCGTTTCCAGCAATAGAGATAATGGAAACACAGTAGCTTCAATATACTTCGATCTAAAAAAGGCCTTTGACAAAGTCCCCCATAAAAGACTACTGGTAAAGCTCAAAAGTCATGGAATTAGGCCTCCTCTTCTCGATTTCCCTAAATCTTATCTTCAAAACCGATATAAAGTGGTGCAAATTTTAGTCTCAGAACCATCCCCTATTACCAGTGGAGGGCTTCAAGGCACTATCCTAGACCCCCTTCTACTTCTCATATATATTCACGACTTATCTTCCAAATCAGTATCAGCTAAGACGTTTTTATATGCGGACGACCTTAAACTTGCATATGCATATAGCGAGAGCACAGTTGCCAATATTCACAGAACAATTAAAACTGACTTCAGAACACTCAGCGAATGGAGTAGTCAATGGCAGATGCCCTTTTCCCCCGAAAAATGTCATCTCCCGATCTCTGGCCCACAAAAACTTCCGCCCATAATTTTCGAGGATAATGAAATAACAGAATTCCAATCATTAACGGACGTAAGTCGGAACTATAAAAAATATCCTTTACTTATCTCCCCACGTCCGACAAATATCACCGAAAGCCACTCGCCTATGTGGATTCATATGTAAATAAGAATGCAACTTTTCAAAATGTATTTTTTACCTCTCCTAGATTATTGCTCAATTTTCTTCGGTATTATGCTCTCAGACGGCCCAAAGAACTAGAAGGCATTCAGAGACGTTTTACTCGGCCTTTGTCCAGAAGTGATAACACCTAGGAGTCGTACTTAGATCTATATCATAAATATGGTCTTCGACCGCTCTGGGTCAGAAGACTCCAAAATGGTCTAAACTTCCTATTTAAGGTCACCCATGACCAAGATATTCTCAAAATGAATTTACTAACAAACCAAAACGCCCCCAGAAACACCAGAAATAACGAAATTTATTATAAGGATCCTCAAATTCACAAAGTCCTGACGGTCGAATTTCTACACAATAAGATATGCCACTATCGGGAATGCTCTTCCAAGTTCTATCCGGAAAAGTTGAACCCTAATCGAGTTTAAAATAAAAACCAAGAAAATCCTTTCAAATAACAATACACATTTATTTTTGAATAAAATAGGACACTTTTCAAGTCAATTCTTTGATTTAGAATTTGGTCCGCAAGGGCCCTGATGATACCAATCGCTTGTATAACACCGGAACATTGCACTAAAAACAATCAAATTTATGAACGATAGCATCATTGATAAACATAGAACAAATAGTGATATTCTTTCTTTCCTCCCTTTATCATTTCTATCGGCTTTGTAACCTGACACTAAATATCCCTTAAGGCGCTAATAACAAAATCCCTTTCGATAAAACCCGACATATTAGTTGTACGTAAGTCTATATTAAAGTCATATTAAACGTATATACAACTATACTAGATCATAGTAAACAGTCGACCACTACTCCTATAATGTCACATTCACAAGAATCAATATGATACATTATTCAATATCATTTCGACAGATTTAATTGTGACTTACCATTGAATGTATCTTACTCCTGATCTATATTCATCTTTTCCAGCTCTTAGTCCAGAGGATTATGGCAAGCCTCATGAAAAACACGAAGGAAATGTGCGACCGCCCCTTTACAGCTGGCCAGATAGACTGACAACCACCTGTAGCGGCCGAGGACGTCAAGGGTAGCACACACCAAGATAAGGAAACGCTGAGAAGAGATCCCAGCGGATGTAGATCTGAACTGAACCGTTAACATCTCTCGATACGCATCCATACACAGGAGAAGAAGGCATGTAGAGTAAGAATAGAGTGTAATGTAACGAGGTTGAGCGGGGAAAAGCGTTAATAATCGTTAATGGTACAAGGAGGATGGGTTACATCTGTAGAATAACCTGTCTGGATGGAGAGGCGAGAGCAACATGCCAGCTGGAAAACCGGTGGGGAGCGCAGCGCTGGGGGCAACTGCAGGGAATGGCCGAGGGGGTTGCCGATGTAGCAAGGAGAGCGATACGAGCGTTACGTTAGTGTACGTTATGGGGGAAGGGATCGGCCGGAGTAAGAGGAAGAGACAGCGGCCATCTTCACTGACACGTGGTTACGCCATCTCCACCCTGGGTCCTTGCGCCAAAAAGTGTTACATCATTCAAACAATTCTATCCGCACCAAGGGGCTTTACGCACCAGCTAAAACACACCAAAATTTACCCAACTGGAAAATACTGTCAAGGTCAGGTCGACATCAATGTTCTTCAATTTCCATGAAGGACATATTATTCATGCCCACGCAGAAACTACCAAATTGCACACTTCAGTTTTTACGTTGTACATATCGTTCGTTCTTAAAACTTTTGTGATTATTTTTTCTTAGAACTCAGGTTTTTTTAACTTAATAAAAACTCAATTCGCACTCTATTGGCTAAAGAGACACCCAAGACAAATGCAGTCAAAGTACAGTCGAAATGGATGAGTTTGTTCTAGGTTTTTTTTCCTGTGTTCAAGGAAGACTGACAGTGCCCAAGGGGCGCTATAATAAACCTATTCTATTCTACGTCTTCTCTCCAGAAGCAGACTGTTCCTCCTTCATCTCGGAGCCAACCAAAGCCGTCTACCCCGCATGTCCAGTCTTAACATTCAGCCCGTTCAAAGACGGCTGCCACCTGCTAGTATCACACCACCTTTGGTGTTAAAGCCCGTCGCTGCATCTCTCCCTGCCCCTCACCTCCAAGCAGAGCAAAAGGGTAAAACCGGTAAGCCTGAAGGTCAGTGAAGCCCATCTTCTGGACAGCTCTAACCCTTGTCGCACATTTTACGTCTGCGACAACCGGAGTGGTAGGCGTTCCTTGTTAGACACTGTTGCCGAGCTAAGTGTCATTCCTCCCACGCCAGCTGATCGTCGGGGCCTCAATCCCGGTCTTTTCCTACAGGCTGTCAACACCTCGCCAATCGCCACCTTTGGCACCTGCGCCCTCTCTCTGTACACCGGTCTCCGGTTTCTTTTCTCTTGGGTCTTCGTCGTTGCTGACATCCCCTGTGCCATTCTCGGTGCAGATTTCCTCGCTGCTTTCGATCTTCTGGTCGACTGTCGTCAGTCACGGCTACACGATAAGACCACAAACCTCACTCGCTGGGGTGTCTCATCCTCCACCGCTTCTCGTAAAGCCGCCGTCTTGGACCCTGAATCCGAGAATCCATTTCGGCAACACCTTGTCTTATACCCCGGTCTCACTCGTTCCATCTTCAAAGCTTCTGTTCTACCACACGACGTTGTTCACCACGTCCGGACCATTGGCTCTCCCGTGTTTTCTCGGCCCCGCCGTCTCGCGCCTGCACCTCTTGCTGCCGCCAAGACCGAGTTCAAGCACATGCTTCAGATGGGCATCATCCGTCAGTCTGGAAGCCTATGGGTCTCGCCCCTCCACATAATGCCAAAGGCCGCCATTAGTGATTGGCGTCCCTGCGATGAGTACAGGGCCCTGAACAACGTGACTGTCCCGGACCGCTACTCGGTCCCACGTCTTCAGAATTTTTCCGGTGCCCTATTCGGCAAATCTGTATTCTCGAAGATCGATCTGGTCCGTGCTTTCCATCAAATTCCCATTGCCCAGGGGACGTTTCAAAGACGGCTGCCACCACTCCCTTTGGCCTCTTTGAGTTCCTACGCATGCCGTTTGGCCTCCGCAACGCCTCCCAGACCTTCCAAACGTTCGCAGACAGAGTGCGTTGCGGCCTACGATTTGTCTTCGTCCATATCGACGACCTTCTGGTAGATTGCTCTACCGCCGAAGAACACATGGAGCATCTGGCAACGGTGTTTGATCGCCTTCAAAAATTTGACGTTGTTCTCAACCCGTCCAAATGCGTCTTCGGTTTTTCCTCCCTAGAATTTCTCGGTCATATGCTCGACTCCCATGACATCCATTCTCTTCCCTCAAAAGTTGCGGCCATCCGTGATTTCCCTCCCCCCTCTCCCAAACGTCAACTGCAGCGATTTCTGGGTATGGTCAGTTTCTACCGCCGGTTCCTCCGCACTGTGCCGACACCATTCTGCCGCTCACGAGCCTCGTCTCGGGTCCCAAAGGTTCGTTCGAGCTGTCTGCGGACGACCTCACTGCTTTTGGCCGGCGTCACCCTCCTGACCCATTTTTCTCCCGCTGCTCCCATCTCCCTCATGGTTGACGCCTACAGTGTTGCAGTAGGCGCGGTTCTCCAACTGCACCTTGCAGGTCGCACCCAACCCTTATCTTTCTTCTCCAGGAAGTTATCACCTGCCGAGACGCGCTATACCACTTTTGGACGGGAGCTCCTTGCTGTCTTCCGTGCCGTGAAACACTTCCGGCACTTCCTTCAGGGCAGGGACTTCACTGTGTTCACGGATCAGAAGCCCCTTTCGTTCGCTCTCAAGTCCACGTCTGATAAGCTCAACACCTGGGAAATTCACCAACCGGACTACATCTCACAGTTTACCCCAGACATCCGCCACATCGACGGGTCACGCAATGAGGTGGCTGATGCATTGCCCAGGCCCTCCATTGCACATCTCCAACTTTCTGCCGTGATCGACCTAGCTGAGATGGCTGCCAAGCAACGCCGTGTTGGTTCTGCCCGTGACGGGGACGTTTCCATACTCCAACTCCAGGACCTGCCGCTGACTAATGCCGACTGAACCATTTTATGCGACGTCTCCACCACTTCCCACTGTCGCTTTGTGCCGCCATCCCTCCGCCACAAAGTCTTCTCCCTGCACAACCTTTCTCATGTCGGGAGTCAAGCTACCGACAAGCTGGTTTCCGACCGCTTCGTCTGGCCTGGAATGCACGAGGACCTGAAGACATGGACACAAGCCTGTCCCGGCTGTGAACGGAGAAAGGTCCAACGGCAAAACAAAGCTCATATCGGCACCTTCCTTACTCCGGACGCACGGTTCAGTCATGTCCACCTGAGCATTATAGCCCCCCTGCCTCTGTTCATTGACTGTTCCTATCTCCTTACCTGCGTGGATCGATTCACCCGGTGGCCGGAAGCTATTCCCCCGCCAGATGTCGCTACTTAAATGGTCTTCAAAGCGTTCCTCGGTCGTTGGATTGCCACTTTCGGTGTTCCCTCCACTATCACGACTGACCTCGATGCCCAATTTGAATATAACATCTTCCAGTCTCTTCTTTCTTTCATAGGCTGTACTCGCATCCACACTACAGCCTGTTCTCTGGCAGCCAACAGAATGGTCGAGCGTGTTCAGCGTCAGCTGAAGGCCTTTCTACGCGCCGCAGACAATCCGGAGAACTGGACAGACCACCTCCCCCTCGTCTTGTTGGGCATTCGCTCCTCCGTCAAGTCGGACCTTGACTGTTCTGCTGCTGATCTCGTATTGGGTGCCACGCTCCGATTTCCCGGCCAGATGACCTCGCCAACTCCGAGAGTTGCAGTTAAGGATCCTACCAACATCCTGTATCGCTTCCGGCAATTCATGCGGACACTTTCCCCGGTTGCACCTAGGCCATCCGTCTCCGAGTCTTACCTCGCGAAAGACTTGGCGACATGCTCTCACGTCTATCTGCGATATGATCGAGTCCGCCGACCCCTCGAACCACCCTACGACGGCTCCTTCCGAGTTATCTCTCGTGGGACGAAGAACTTCTGCATCCAAAGCGGAACTCGCGAGGAGGTCGTGTGCGTGGACCGCCGAAAAGCTGCCATGCCGAACACTCCTCCGGATGAACCCTATGGTCCCCTGTCCCCTGCTCCACCTCCCCGACCCTCTGTCCGTCCGTCCCGTATACTTCCTCTGCCCTCATGTCCGCAACCCCCAAATGCAACTACCCCTTCATCAACCAACAACAGTGCAATCGCGAGCTATATTCACTCTACCCATGTGCTCCCTGTATTTGTCACCCGTAGTGAACGCCATCTTCATTTTCCTGACCGTTTGGTTACTTATGTTTTTTAGACGTCATCAAGTCCATCAGCGTCGCTACGCGCCACCTCCGGTCTACCTGGGGGTACTGTGGCAGTTCGAGTCTCCTCGCCCTCCGTCTTTGCCACGCTGACTTCCTGTCTGCCTCACACCCCTTGTCGATACACTGCTGGGACGCGCGAGGCTTTTCACTAGTTCATTTTTGCTAAGGGAAAGGAAGGTGATCGCCCTTGAGCTCCCTATCGATTTCCATAACATCACAAATGAAGCAATACGTAAGGCAAGTTGGAAAGAAGAGTGGCGTGTACAGTATGTATGAGTCGGTGTATACACGCTGTGCCAAAATTGTGGAATGTCCAAAAGCGTTATTGAAATAGTTCAAGCAGTATGGAAATGAACGATTATGCTTCAGCCAGGATTTACTGTTTCGCACGTAGGCGCCTGATTAAGGCATTTAACGAAAACGTTATAAAATAATGTTACTTAATTATAGAGGTAGTGTAGTTCATAACGTATACCTTTCGGGGAGGACGGTACAATGGGGAAAATTTGTTAGTCGCTGATGGGGTAATGGTACATATTCATGTACCCGTCAAGCCTCCTTTTTAATGTGCCCACGGATATGAACGTACGACGTCCACAGGCAAAGCATTCCAGGCATTATTCATCCAGGAGAAAAATTTCCTTCGTCCACCTTTGCCGCAGTCACACTCAATTTGAGAACATGTCCTCTCAAGCTGGTAATGGTAGTCGACCACAAAAAATGTCTAGTTTCGAGGCAACAATCCGGACCCCGCAGCATGCGACACGTTTGAAGGAAGTTACGATGTAGTTGTCTGTAGTTCAGGGAAATAGTTCAAGATTGGACAGTCGAGTTTGTGAAGGTAGATTTTCCTGACTTTTGACAAGCTGGGTTGCCCGTCGTTGGATTCTTTCGATGATAGTAGGTCTTTGGCACACGAAGATTTCCAGGCCCGAGTGGCGAATTTCAACTGTGGCCGCACGAGCATTCCAAAGGCACAACTAAGGCATACCTCGTTAAACTCCGCACATGCCCACTGGACATCGCAAATTTCACTATTTTCAAGCAGTGTAAAGATGGCTTAAGTGAGGATTTTATTTGCACACCCAGATACTTCTGGATATCTGTTTTTGATAGTGGTGTATGATTTAGACAGTACGGCCTTCGGTGAGCAGAGCTGGTTCTCTCGGTCATCAGAATGTTGTATTTGGTAACATTGAAAAGGAGGAGCCAGTGGATTGACCATCGTTCTAGTCAGTTCAAGATTGCTTGTAAATTTGCTTCATCGTCCTCTTTTCGGATGGCACTCGAAAGCTTTACGTCTTCATCAAACATGTGGAGACGTTGGTGTGACACACTGTCAAAGGCCTTCCTGAAGTCTGTATAGGCTACATGCGCCAAATTTCCTCCATTACTCGCTCGAGTCCAGCGGTCCAGGCAGTAAACCAAACTAGCCAAGCAGGATTGTCCTCTGCGGCATTTATGCTGTCCATGAGAGATAAGATGATGTTACTCTAAAACCTGCATCAGTTCGTGTTTGATAAATCACCTCATGAGTTTGCGAGCCATGGAGGTGAGACTTACCTGTCGGTAGTTGTGTTGCGGAGGCGCAATCGCCACTTTTATATATCGGTGTAATCCACGCAATCTTCCACTTAGGTAGCAGTCTGCCTACATCGACTTAGGTTTGGAAGAGAAGACATAAAGGTTCTCCCCATTCTATGACTAACTGCTTCAACAACTTTGTTGTATTTCATTCGGTCCTAGCGATCTCGCTTCTTCCAGCCTCAGTAGTTCTTGTTGAACAATAGCTTTTGGTAGAATCACTGGGGAACTTTTGGGATTTCGTCCACACTCTTGTTATTAGCGGGTAAATCGACTTCCCTCACAAAAACCGATTGAAAGAACTTAAATAGATGTTCATCCTTTAGTCGTCCTTGCAAAGTCCAATATGTCATCTGTTTTTAACATATAGATGTGATCCCTATTGCGAGTACAATGTCTTATGTAGCCGAAGAAAAGCTTTGGGGTTTCTCATGCGCAATTTAGCAGGTTGCTCTCGAACTCTTAGAGGGCTTTATAAACAAACTACCTTATCCTCTTTCTCTGCACCTTGTAGTTGTCTATTGATCCGATTGTCCCCTCCCTGAGATCAGTTTTCCCTAGATTTCGCTTGCGGTTTACCTTTATCCTTGGTGTGCTCTTTAGCCATCGGAGCCTGCTGGTGATCCTCCTCTTTGATCTAGGGCAATACGGCCTAAAATTCCAATTGGTTCTCGCAAACGCACCGCGTGAATGTTGCTTTCCAGTTTATACGATGCAAGTCAGTTTGCTTTTGGTAAAATGTCCATGACATATGTTGCTTCTGACCGTGATGCCTTGATCAGGTACAGAGAAGGAAGAGTACTTCTACTGCAAAACTTCTTGGTCGTACAGACGCTGTCAGGCGCTTTTGTTGATACAGGGTCGAAGCAGTTGGTTAGTTGCCCTTCTCGTAGTCTGTTTAGAGATGAGGCATATTGAGTGACACGTGATTTTTGCACCGCTTGTAGGAGGCGTTGAGTGGAGTTTATTTCTGAGCCTAGGGCCGAATTCAGATTACATTCGAAATGCAGAGCGTCAAAGTCGCT